GGGAGCTGCCGATAAAGCCAGCAGTTTTATCTTTTTTAAGGCTGGTAAATCAACTCAACTAGCTACAAAGCATTCGGTGCTGGTCCAATTTGGATCGCCATGCATTTCAATTCAGTTGTGATAATGTAGGGACAGTTGAGCCACTGGCTAATGCATGTCATAAGCTGAGCTGCCTATAGAGTCAAGGTCTTACACTTCTCGAATGTGGTAAATCAACCACCCAGGCAAAAGGTTTGATTAAGCTTCATCACGATCGAACCGATATGGGGTTTTGCCCTGCTGCCATGTACGCGATATGCAGCCCCACCTGCTTCTCTACCATAATTCTGACACCCTATTCCATAGCTCCAATGAAATTTTACCCCTGCAGGAATATTAGCAAGCTTCAGCAAAAATGAGCTGCTCGAAGACCATGGACGCTCTCTTCGACAACATTTAAATCAATTCGCTACATTTCAATGATGTAGCGCCGTCGTTGTGTCTCGCGAAATCTCCCATTATAGCCTGCTTAATTTGGCCAGCTAAGCTCTAGGGCTCCCATCGTAGCCCTGAAGAATATTGATCGTTATGGAAAGAGGAAACAGATGTTTATTTGTCGTAGGTATCGATTAGGCACGCTTTATTGACTTCATCGTCACCACGATTGGCGGTCCAAACGGGGGCGTTCGTGAGAGTTTTTCGGCCCGGCAAGGTCGTACACAACTTCCAACATACAGCAGCTATCTGTCAGAGAAATGCTGAAAGCTCGACAGATAATTCTGTTCTTCTTCACACCCACCAGCTCTTTCACAACAATCCCGGCCCCCGTACCTACCCTACCTGACTCAACCCCGAGTTGTGACTAGAATTGCTTGACGTACTGGGTCCAACCTCGGCGCTAGTTTTTCCGTTTCATTGTTGCTCCGTCACTCCGAGTACCTCGCCGGGCCGGCTGCTCGTTCACGTGCTAGCGGCATGTAACGATGGCGAGGGGCCCCGCCTCTGCGCCCTCCCCGTCCCCACTCAGTGGCGGGGGCAGCGCCCCCCCCCCCAGCGCCGCTCGTCCGGCTCTGCGAGGTCAAGCATTTTCTATCTGGGCTTCTTTGGATGGCAGGTTTCTATCCCTTAGAGAAGTACAGACTTTACAATGGTCATGAGTAGACGGATAGCGTAATTAATAGCTATCGCAATCAATTCGTGGGCAACACGGCTAATTTCACTTCCGAGGCAATTCATGGATCCTCCAACCATCAGAGGAAATTTCTGACCTGTGGAGGTTTCCTTTTCTTTTGTTTGCCCAGGGGGCTTTCATCAAATATTATTGGCTTAGGACGACAACTGCAGTTCCGCGTTTTTTCGAGCCAACGTAGTCTTCCCATCTTTTTCCCACATTTTGTACAGTCGTTCATCGTTACGAGTTGCAAATGAACTGCGCGCTGTGTGTTTTTCGGCTGTTCGACAGCATATCGACTGTTCGCAGTGTATTTTCAAGGATATGAATTGCTTTTTTATAACCTGAAAAAGAACCTGAATATATCCCTTTCGATTTTCACTTTTCTCTCGATTTTCGCGATAAGGCAAAGTTGGCGTAGCGCTGTTTGTCATTTACACCTGTTACCGATACCGAGCTCAGAATCAATACATCGATTTTTGGCCCGAGACCGGTTTATTAACCGATTTATTAGTATCGTACTCTTTCAGGAAATGTAATGGCTTAAATTTGCTACCAGAACCTAAGTATAGCTGAAATGCGCTATCAATCACCTCCGCGATTTTCGAGTAGAAGCCCAGCGCATGGCGCATCCCAGGAATCTCATTTGATTCATTTAAAACGCCCGAGTTCCATAACTATGTTCCATAGTTATATTATCTGTGTTAGCGCTGAGAATAGGCACTTTTTCGTTGCTTCTAATCAGTTTTTATGCCTGGAGCTAATCTCGCCATATTCGTGCCCTGAAACAGATGTGATCGTTCTTTGACGGCGCGAAATACAAAGCACAGTTTTTTCTCGGAGTGTGTACGTGCCGCCCTAAAAGTGCATTCCGCTGATGCCCTTTTTCTATCTTGATCAAACCGTGACGATCGACCACCTCCTACCAATCAGCTACAGTACGATCTTATCAGAATACCCTTAGTGTGGTAGCTCTCATATGGCCATATTTCCACCAAACGACGTCTTCATGTCTCATTTAGTGTTGCGGCGGCGCTCAGGTAGGTTGGGATGGAATCACGTGGCGCGCGTGGAAACCTATGACCGCTAGCACCACACCTTACCCCCTGACTGCCCCATTGGAGTATAAAGATCGGTCTCGAAGGGGAGCTGTCACCTTATTTTAGTCTCACTTCGAGATCATTGA